GATATCTACAGAAGTCTCCACACCAAATCAACAGAATATACATTCTTCTCCACACCACATTGCACTTATTCCAAAATTGACCACATAGTTGGAAATAAAGCACTTCTCAGCAAATGTAAAAGAACAGAAATTGTAACAAACTGTCTCTCAGAACACAGTGCAATCAAACTAGAATTCAGGACTAAGAAACTCAATCAAAACTGCTCAACTACATGGAGACTGAACAACCTGCTCCTGAAGGACTCCTGGGTACCTAACAAAATGAAGGCAGAAATAAAGATGTCCTTTGAAACCAATGAGAACAAAGATACAACATACCAGAATCTCTGGGACACATTTAAAGCAGTGTGTAGAGGGAAATTTATAGCACTAAATGCCCACAAGAGAAAGCAGGAAAGATCTAAAATCGACACTCTAACATCACAATTAAAAGAACTAGAGAAGCAAGAGCAAACACATTCAAAAGCTAGCAGAAGGCAAGAAATGACTAAGATCAGAGCAGAACTGAAGGATATAGAGACACAAAAAACCCTTCAAAAAATCAATGAAACCAGGAGCTGGTTTTTGAAAAGATCAACAAAACTGATAGACCGCTAGCAAGAGTAATAAAGAAAAAAGAGAGAAGAATCAAATAGATGCAATAAAAAATGATAAAGGGGTATCACCGCCGAGCCCACAGAAATACAAACTACCATCAGAGAATACTATAAACACCTCTATGCAAATAAACTAGAAAACCTGGAAGAAATGGATAATTTCCTGGACACTTACACTCTCCCAAGACTAAACCAGGAAGAAGTTGAATCCCTGAATAGACCAATAGCAGGCTCTGAAATTGAGGCCATAATTAATAGCCTACCAACCAAAAAAAGTCCAGGACCAGATGGATTCAAGGCCGAATTCTAGCAGAAGTACAAGGAGGAGTTGGTACCATTCCCTCTGAAACTATTCCAATCAATAGAAAATGAAGGAATCCTCCCTAACTCTTTTTGTGAAGCCAGAATCACCCTGACACCAAAACCTGGTAGAGACACCACAAAAAAAGAGAATTTTAGACCAATATCCCTGATGAGCATTGATGCAAAAATCGTCAACAAAATACTAGGATAACAAATCCAGCAGCACATCAAAAAGCTTATCCACCATGATCAAGTGGGTTTCATCCCTGGGATGCAAGGCTGGTTCAACATATGCACATCAGTAAACGTAATCCAGCATATAAACAGAACCAAAGACAAAAACGACATGATTATCTCAAGAGATGCAGAAAAGGCCTTTGACAAAATTTAACACCCTTCATGCTAAAAGCTCTCAATAAATTCGGTATTGATGGAACGTATCTCGAAATAACAAGAGCTATTTATGACAAACTCACAGCCAATATCATACTGAATGGGCAAAAACTGGAAGCATTCCCTTTGAAAACTGGCAGGAGACAGTGATGCCCTCACTCACCACTCCTATTCAACATAGTGTTGGAACTTCTGGCTAGGGCAATCAGGCAAGAGAAAGAAGAAAGGGTATTCAGTTAGGAAAAGAAGAAGTCAAATTGTCCCTGTTTGCAGATAACATGATTGTATATTTAGAAAACCTCATTGTCTTAGTCCAAAATCTCCTTAAGCTGATAAGCAACTTCAGCAGTCTCAGGATACAAAATCAATGTTCATAAATCACAAGCATTCTTATACACCAGTAACAGACAGAGAGCCAAATCGTGAATGAATTCCCATTCACAATAGCTTCGAAGAGAATAAAATACCCAGGAATCCAACTTACAAGGGCTATTAAGGACCTCTTCAAGGAGAACTACAAACCACTGCTCAGTGAAATAAAAGAGGACACAAACAAATGGAAGAACATACCATGCTCATGGATAGGAAGAATCAATATTGTGAAAATGGCCATACTGGCTAAGGTAATTTAGAGATTCAATGCGATCCCCATCAAGCTACCAATGAGTTTCTTCACAGAATTGGAAAAAACTGCTTTAAAGTTCACATGGAACCAAAAAAGACCCCGCATTGCCAAGATGATCCTAAGCCAAAAGAACAAAGCTGGAGGCATCACGCTACCTGACTTCAAACTATACTACAAGGCTACAGTAACCAAAACAGCGTGGTACTGGTACCAAAACAGAGATATAGACCAATGGAACAGAACAGAGCCCTCAGAAATAATACCACACGTCTACAGCCATCTGATCTTTGACAAACCTGAGAGAAACAAGAAATGGGGAATGGATTCCCTATTTAATAAATGGTGCTGGGAAAATTGGCTAGCCATAAGTAGAAAGCTGAAACTGGATCCTTTCCTTACTTCTTATATGAAAATTAATTCAAGATGGATTAGAAACTTAAATGTTAGACCTAAAACCATAAAAACCCTAGAAGAAAACCTAGGGAATACCTTTCAGGACATAGGCACGGGCAAGGACTTCATGTCTAAAACACCAAAAGCAACAGCAACAAAAGTCAGAATTGACAAATGGGATCTAATTAAACTAAAGGGCTTCTACACAGTAAAAGAAACTACCATCAGAGTGACTAGGCAACCTACAAAATGGGAGAAAATTTTTGCAATCTACTCATCTGACAAAGGGCTAATATCCAGAACCTACAAAGAACTCAAACAAATTTACAAGAAAAAAACAACCCCATCAAAAAGTGGGCAAAGGATATAAATGACACTTCTCAAAAGAAGACATTCATACAGCCAACAGACACATGAAAAAATGCTCATCGTCACTGGCCATCAGAGAAATGCAAATCAAAACCACAGTGAGATACCATCTCACACCAGTTAGAATGGCGATCATTAAAAAGTGAGGAAACAACAGGTGCTGGGGAGGATGTGGAGAAATAGGAACACTTTTACACTGTTGGTGGGATTGTAAACTAGTTCAAACATTGTGGAAGGCAGTGTGGCAATTCCTCAAGGATCTAGAACCAGAAATACCATATGACCCAGCCATTCCATTACTGGATATATACCCAAGGGATTATAAATCATGCTGCTATAAAGACACATGCACACATATGTTTATTGTGGCACTATTCACAGTAGCAAAGACTTGGAATCAACCCAAATGTCCATCAGTGACAGACTGGATTAAGAAAATGTGGTACATATACACCATGGAATACTATGCAACCATAAAAAATGATGGGTTTGTGTCCTTTGTAGTGACATGGATGCCGTTGGAAACCAGCATTCTCAGTAAACTATCACAAGAACAGAAAACCAAACACCGCATGTTCTCACTCATAGGTGGGAATTGAACAATGAGATCACTTGGACACAGGAAGGGGAACATCACACACCGGGGCCTATTGTGGGGATGGGGAAGGGAAAAGGGATAGCATTAGGAGATATATCTAATATAAATGACAAGTTAATGGGTGCAGCACACCAACATGGCACATGTATACATATTATCAAACTTGCACGTTGTGCACATGGACCCTAGAACTTAAAGTATAATAATAATAATAAATTAAAATAAAAATGGTTAAGATGTAAAAATAAAAAAATTAAACCAACAGTATTTAAACTTATTTACCAAAGATTTGAACTCAGGAAACATTTGTGTTAGTTTTTATATTTCTGAGAATTTTAGGAATACTTAAGTTATATAAGTGCTCTTTTATTTCTAAGCCAATTTTAGAACTCCTAGAAGGGATTTTACAAATTAATTTGGTGATATCCTCCAGAGGCAGAAAAATATAACATAGATCTAACATGCATACCTAGACATACATAAACACAGACAGATGCAAAAAGAGGTCTTACAGTGTTCATTTTTCAATTTTAGCTCTGGGGCAGTAAAACATAGCAGTAAAACAAGTCTGAAACTCACTGATTCTTCTCCACTCTATATTTTTATCCAAATTGTTTTTCTGACCAAAATGGGACAAATTGAGATTATTTATTCAGTAAGCTTTTAAAACTTTTATTTTCTTACCAATATTTATGGAGAAGACCTTTGAAATTTTGTTTTGACCTGATATGTAATTTTGGATGGGCTGTGGACTATATTTTAGGCTGAGGAGACAATCACGAACTGTCTTGATGTCTCCAAAGCCCATCTGATTTGATAAAATATTCAGTCCGTTTTCACTTAGTCTTTCTGCTTTTTAGCCTCTGGTAGTTGCTTTCGGGGCACCCTGAGTCCCTTCCCTAGGGGCCCCCAATAGTGATAGAAGCCTAACACTTCAGTGACTTTAGAGAAGTTGAGGCTGAAGTGAGAAGGGAAAGGCCTGGCAGGCCTGGAGAGTTGGATGGAAGGGGTAGAGGTTCAATTTAAGGAAACTAAAGGGAAGATTGAAGGTGGCTAGAGGAGAAGCAGAAGCAATGGGAATGGAAAGGTCTCAGATGAGGGAGATTTTAAGTTTCCCAAAGAGACCAATGAGGTTCCCAGTTATCCTCAGCAAAATTGTGCCAACGAGAAGGGAACGGACAGAGTTGGTGGAACATACAGTCAGCAGGGGTTCAATAAGGCAGTTTCAGTAGACTGAGATGTTTCCCTGGAAGGAGTAGGATCAAATAGAATAACAAAGCCCCACCAAGAGCTAGAAAAAATTGTCTATGTCAGAAATTAGGGAGAGAATCCCCACTTAAAAAGCCGAGAAGAAGTACTTTCAGCTCAGGAGTCAAGAAATAATCCCCACGAGAGACAGAAAGCTGTCCTCTGTTTGTCTGGGACTAACTCAGTTTCTACAGTATACTCAGAATCCTAGGAATAGAAATCTGTCCTTACCAGCTTCCACGGATAATTGTTCAGAACAATGAATGGCTCAGGAGTCTGACTGAAGAAAGGATATGTGATCAATCAGTAAAAAGTAAAGACAAAGGCTTCACAGGTGCGCACACTTAAGGTCCTAAGTGACAGGTCCCAGGGTCCAGTGATATATCTGATCCTGTTTAAGTCACAGCACACCACTGCTAAAGGAAACACTAATTCATTCACTTTAAAAATGGTAAGGCAGACTTTATTCAGGACCATCACAATAGTAACAGGGACCACCACAATGTATTTTTACAGTGGGAGAAAGAAATTGGGCTCCATCCCAAATATAATAAGGAAAAGTGGGAATTTATAGTCAAGAAGCAGAGTGGTGGGTGGGGGTTAGTTGATGAAAAATTACTAAGGGAAAACGTCAGGGTTAATAGGAATTTTGAGCAAACTGACCTAGCAGAATTCTTGCTCAGGGCAGGCCAGGGTGATCAGACATCACCTGGGAGATGGTGGAAGATGAGGAACCCAATCAAGTATCAAGCGATGAGAGTAGAGGATTCCGGTTAAACTGACTTAGTAAAATTCTTGCTAGAATTGGACAGTGCAGAGATAAACATAGAAGCTCAAAAATCTGAGTCTAGGTGAGTAGAGAGTTCACTGGAGCCCGATAAGAGTTTGTTCAAGGAGAAAATTTTTGTCGGCACTTATCTTTGAAACAACAAATTATGACATTTTGCTTTCAGTCCAAATCTTCCACAAACTTTTTCTTACTATTATTGCTGCTATTTTATTATTTAAAAATATATTGTGATTATTTTTATGCTATTATAATTCTAGTTCTACTTTATATATTATTCAGAATGTCTACACAACATTTTATCCACTATTCTCTCACACCTAAAATAAGGGTAGTAGTAGCATCATCTATTCAAAGCCAAAAGGGAATATTAAAGATCCAGAAGTTACCCATCTCCTGTCACATTTCTAGAATTGTTTAAGGTTGAGAATGTGCATCTTCACAGGTAGCTCAGCAAATTTTAATTTGCAGAACTAAATTAGATAAGTAGAATGAAGTGCAGAGAAAAGGTTGCCTAGGAAAATTCCTTAAGGCACCAAAACTTGAGTAATCTCATGGCAGCAGTTTGTGGGTATATCTAGCACCACCCTCTACTTACTTGATATTGTCACTTTCCGTGTGGCCCTCAAGTTGAATGTCACATTCACAGGCTTTCACATTGTTCTCTATTTTAGGTTTGAGTTAGTCATTCTGTGACATTCTAACACAGCAGAACAAAACTTTCTAATGTATCTGTAGTAGTTAACCAAGGAATAAAATGAAGGTTTAACCAAAACAGAGAAGAACGTGTGTTCATACAGACAGATGGACTATATGTATATTTGTGTAGAAACCAATTAAGCTCAGAAATTCTGAGTCTGTTTCAAATCCTTGAAAGCTTTTCTTAGAGCTATAATTACTTTTATTGTGGCCCTTGTTGGCTTTCTTTATTCTGAACTGCGCATTGCAGGCAGTTCTAATTTCTGTATGCATCCCTGCAGTTCCATTTAGCAGTTAAAGTGTAGCTTTCCTTATAGATGGGTGACTACTATTGCCTTTGAAATTGCTTAACTTTCCAAATAGAGATGAATTCCTGAAATAATTTATGGACTCCTAAAAGCATGTGTTTTGTATGTAAATTGCTAATAGAAAGTACGAAAACACTGGCCAAAGCAGAGCACTTGCCTTGATTTCACTGATGTCAGAATATAAGGCAAAAGATATTGTAGCACAGCCTTTATTTCAGCATCTTGATTGTAGCTTGAAGGAAATAAGCTCATTATCATTGTGCCTCCTACAAAGTAAAAAAAGAAACAAGAGCACAGGAAGAGTCTCTTTTATAATATTGCATAATAACCATCATTTTTCCATCATGACTTTTTAAAAAGTATAGTTTTTTTTTTTTATATATAAGGAATGGAATGCCATGTGGCTCTATTATTAGGTTTTTCTTGTCCCATTGCACGGAAAGGATTTTTTTTTTTTTTAACCAGCCATTTGCAGTGCTTCTGAGAAAGCACTTTAGAAATACAGGTTGGCAAAGTCAGTGATTAGAACTGGAGTCTCTGACCTTGTAGTATGCATCTATTTCAGATGAGGGTTGAGAAAAAGGGAGTTGTCAGGGTCACCATGCAGCTCTTTCTTTCCTTCTTGGGTTTCTGGGTTACAGAATCTTGCAGAGTGATTTTTTTTTTTCTTATTTTCTTCCCTGTTTGTATAAGGAGAAAGAGAAAAATATAAGAGGAGAGGTTTTTTTTAGAAAGAATGTCTCCTCTTTTATAATTCTACCATTTTAAAATATTTGTGTTGGTCTAGAGGTTGTATGTGCTGCACATTTTACCCCTATGATTTAACATTATGTGTAGAAAGTTCCCAGTAAATACTGCTGAGTGATGAAGAAATGAATAACAATCATCACAGAGATTCTGTCTGTAAAGACCAACTTCATTTTAATAATCCTACTGGTCTCACCTTTAGATTGACTTCCTTCTGTAAAATTTCACCTAAAACAAACTACTTGGACTTCCTCAATTACCATCTCATTCTTTCCTGCTCCTGTCTTTTCTTCCTTTCCTTATAATGCTCTTCCTTCCAGGCTCTATAAATCCTACATTTCCTTTAAGCCCCAGCTTGAAAATTCCACTTTTCCATCAAGGTGTGTAGCCAGACCACCTTGATGTTCCTCTTCTTAGCTGCTCAGGGAAGCCCAAGTCTGGGAGCAGTCAGTTTTGACTGGGGAGGCTCTTGATGGCATAATGAAGGTTCTCTACAGGTTTATTTTGGGGTTGCACAGCAAGACACAATGATATAGAATGAAAATATTTCTTCCTGAGGTAGGATCTTTACCAAGATTTTAAAAAAGTTTTTAATTTTTATATTTCAATAGGTTTTTGGAGAATAGGTGGTGTTTATTTACATGAATAAGTTCCTTAGTAGTGATTTCTGAGATTTTGGTGCACCCATCACCTGAACAGTGTACCTGACCTTTTTCCCCAAGCCCCCAAAGTCCAAAATATCATTCCTATATCTTGGCGTCCTCATGGCTTAGCTCCCACATATGAATGAGAACATACAATGTTTGGTTTTCCATTCCTGAGTTACTTCACTTAGGATAATAGTCTCCAATTCCATCTAGGTCATTGTGAATGCCATTATTTCATTCCTTTTTATGGCTGAGTAGTATTCCATGGTGTGTGTGTGTGTGTGTGTGTGTGTGTGTATATATTTCACATGTGGTATGTGTGTATATATACATGTATATACATATATACATACACCACATTTTCTTTATTCACTTGCTAATTGATGGGCATTTGGGCTGGCTTCATATTTTTGCAATTGCAATTTGTTTTTGAGGTTCATTCATGTGTCAGTGCAGTTCATTTTAATTGCTGAGTAGTACTCTATGGAATGGATAAACCACATTTTGTTTGTCCACTCACCAGTTGATGAATAATTATATTATTTACAGTATTGGGCTATTAATGCTGCAATAAACATTTGTGTATATTGTTTTTGGGGACATATGTTTTCACTTCTTTTGGGTATGTGCCTAGGCTTGAAATTGCTAGGTTGTATGGGGATCTCTTCAGAGTCAGTCTGTCATATCACTAAACTGTTTTCCAACGTGTTGTAACGTTTGACATTACTACAAACAAAACATGAGGGTCCCGATTTCTCCTCATTCTCACTAACATCTGTTATAGGATATCTTTTTGAATAAAGTCATTCTAGTGGGTATAAAGTGGTATCTAACTTTAATTTGTATTTCCTTAATAACTTGTATTGTTGGCCATCTTTCGTGTACTTATTAGCCATTAGAATATCTTCTTTAGTGAAATATCTATTCAAGTCTTCTCTCGTTTTTTAAATTGGGTTGCTTGTCTCCTAATTATTTAATTATAAGTGTTCTTTGTATATTCTGAATGCAAGTTCTTTAATGCATATGTAATTTGCAAATATTTTTTCCAGTTCTGGGTTTATCTATTCTTTTTCCTAATAATATATTTTGAAGTGCAAAAGTTTTCAGTTTTGATGGAGTTCATTTATCTGTATTCTCTTGTATAAATCATGCTCTGTTGTCACATTTAACTCTTCGCCTAATACAAGTTCTCCGTGATTTTCCCCAATGCTTTCTTATAATAGTTTGATTGTTTTAGCTCTTACATTTAGGTTTATAAGTCATTTTGAATTATGTTTGTGTATGGGGCAAACTAAGGGTCTAAATTCATCCACAATACTAATAATTTGTGCCTTCTCTTTTTTTCTTGGTCAGTCTTTGTTAATTTTGTTCTTTTTTAATTGACTTCACAATCAATAAAACCAATATTCTTTGGAAAAGAAATCTAATGTTTTCTCATATCTATTTAATCTACTTAGTTTCTAACCTTTATTGCTTCCCTTTTCTATTTGCTTTGTGTTTTGTTTTTATTATTTTTGTAGTTTCTGATGGTGGAATCTTAGGTTATTGACTTCTGATTGTTCTACTTCTCTAAGATAGGGTTTTAAAGCCAGAGACTTCTCACTAAGCATTGCTTTGTTGTATCCTGCAAATTTTTATGTGTTGTTTTCATTTCTATTTAATTAAAAATTGTTTTACTCTACTTGTGATTTCTTCTTCAGCCTATGTGTTATTTAGAATTGTGTTATTTAATTTGCAAATATTTGGAACTTTCCTCATTTTTTCCTATTGTTTAATTATAATTTAATTCTGTTGTGATTGGGGAATTTGCATTGTAATCGTTTACACTGGGACTTGTATTATGGGCTAGCATGTAGTTTACCCTGGAGAAAATGTTATATTCACTTGAAAACACTGTGTTTTTGCTCTTGTTTGAAAAGTGTTCCATAGATTTCAGTTAGGTCAAGTTGGTTGATGGTGTTAATTAAGCCTTCTTTATTCTTGTTGATTTACTATTTTGTTATATTAATTATTGAAACCAAGGTATTAATGTCTTCGGCTGTTATTGTTGAATTACTGTTTTTTTCCTCTCAATTATGGCAATTTTTGTCTCATGTATTTTGGGCTTCCCTTATAGATATATATGTGGTAGTATTATTATATTTCCCCAATTAAATAACACTTTATAACTATGAAATGTTCCTCTTTGTCTCTAGTATTTTCTTTTTGAAATTGAAAGGTTATTTCATCTGATATTAGTTATGAAAGTTTATTTCATCTGATATTAGTATAGCCATTCAAATTTTTTATGGTTATAGTTTGTGGGGTATAACTTTCACATCCTTTTACTTTCAATCTATTTTATAAAAGGCAATGTAGTTTAATAATAAAAATACTCATTAAACTAAGACTAGAAGAGAACTTCCTCAACCAGCTACAGAATATCTACAAAAACCCCCACAGCTAACATCCTACTTAATAATGAAACAGTGGATGCTTTCCCCTAGGACCAGAAAAAATATTGGCCACTTTCACCACTTCTATTCAGTATTGTACTAGAGGGTCTAGCCAGGGCGATTAGGTGAGAAAAAATTTTAAAAGACATTGAGACTAGAAAGAAAGAAGTAAAACTATCCCTATTTGCAGATGATATTATCTTATGTCTAGAAAATCCTAAGGAATTTACTTAAAAACTATTAAACGAATAAACAAGTTTAGCAAGCTTGAAGGATACAAGATCAATGTACAAAAATCTGTTGTACTTTTGTATAGTTATAAGATTCCAAAAATGAAGTTAAGAAAGCAATTCCATTTACAATAACATCAAGAAGTAAAATATGAATGCATTTAGTAGAAGAAGTTCAAAACTGTTAACAACTATAAAACATTGCTGAAGAAAATTTAAGATTAAAATAATTGGAAAAACATCCATGTTCATGGATCTGAACACTTAATATTGTTAGAATCACTCTGCTTTCCAAATTGAACTACAGGTTCAGTGAAATCCCTATCAGAATCTCAGCTGACTTTCTTGTAAGTATTGCCCAGATGATTTAAAAAATTCATATGGAATTGCCATGGACCCAAAATACCCAGAATAATTTTGGCAAAAGGAAACAAAATTGGGGCACTCACACTTCCTGATTTCAAAACTTACCACAGAGCCAGAGTAATGAAAATATTGTAGTACTGGCATGAACATATAGATCAGTGGAATAGAACTGAGAGTCCAGAAATAAACCCGTACATCTATGGTCAACTGTTTTCCAACAACGTTGCTAAGACTATCCAACAGAAAAAAAAAAAAAAACAGTTATTTTTCAAAAAAATAGTGCTGGGACAACTGGATATCTGTATTCACAAATATAAAGCTGGGCTCTATCCATATACAAAAATTAACTCAAAATGAATCAAAGACCTAAACAGTATTATTTAAAACTATATAACTTAAAGAAAAAACCTTAGGGTTAAATATTCATGACAAAGAATTTGACAACGGCTTCTTAGATGTGACACCAAAAGCATGAAAAACAAAGGAAAAAATAGTTTTATCGGACTTCACCAAAATCTAAAATTTTTGCATAAAAACACTAAGAACATGAAAAGACAACCCCCAAAAAGACAATAATTGCAAATCACATATATAATAAAGTATTTATTCTAGACTGTATAAATAACTCATACAACTATTAATACATAATACCCCAATTAAAAATGGGCAAAGTATCTGATCAGGCATTTTACAAATGAAAATATATAAATGGGCAATATGCACATGAAAAGATGGTTGACATCCTTAACCATAGAGGAAGAGCAAATCAAAACCACAATGAGATACCACTTCACACACATTAGGATGACTGGAATCAATAAGTTAGATAACAGCAAGTGTGGGTGAACATTGGGAGAAATCAGAATCTTCATACACTGCTGATGGTAATGCAAAGTGGTACCATTACTTTGGAAAACAGTCTGGCAGTACCATAAACAACTAAACATAGAAGTTATAGCAATTGCACTCCTAGATATACACCTGAGAGAAATATTGACATAAATGCACACACAAACTCGTACATGAATATTTATAGCAGTATTATTCATAATAGCCAAAAGATAGAAACAACTCAAATGCAGATCAAGTGATGAATGGTTAAATGTAATGCAGAATGTCCATACAAGTGAAGATTCTTTGACCATAAAAGGAATGAAGAAGTACATGGTACAACATCTATACTTTCTTCCAAGATAAACATGGATGAACCTGAAAACATTAAGTGAAATAAACCAGTAAAAAAACCCAAAAACCTCAGATATTATATAATATCATTTATATGAAATGTGCAGAATAGGCAAATTTATAGAGATAGAAAGTAGATTAAAATGCTTAGGACTAGGGGGTGGGTAGTCTGGGGGACAGGAGGTAATACCTAAAGGGTACAACATTTCTTTTTGAGGTGATGAAATGACTCTAAAATTGACTATTGAGGTGATGGTTGCCCATGTTTGTGACTATACAGAAAAAACACTGAATTGTATATCTAAATAGGTGATTTATACATTATTTGCCCTATATGTCGATAAGGCTGTTAAGAAGTTCTTTATACATGGTCGAAAAATTTCCTTGAATATATTTATAATAGCTGCTTTAAAGTCTTTATGTGCTAAATCTGATGTCTGTACCCTACCCCCCAAAGATAGTGTCTACTGGCTATTACTTTCATGAGTATAAGTGACACTTTCCACCTTTTGGCATGTCTCACATAATTTTTGTTGAAAAATGATCTTAAATAATATATAAATTCTGGATTCTAATTTAATTTTTTTTAGTTACTTACTTGAACAAAATCTGTATTGTCTGTTCCCCCCATCAGTGTGCATTCACTAATGTTTCTGCTCAAAATTTGTTTTGTTCTTTTTTGTAAATCCGGATTCCAAATGTTGTGAACTCAGCCAGTGATTGAATAGAAATGGTATTGAAACATTGAGATCAAGTGAGTCTTCCATGCTCCGTATGAAATCTGTATATGGATTGGAGAATAAATGCACATCTCAGGCTACTACTTTCCATTGGTTCCTCTTGAATTTCCCTGCCTGTGCTCATAGTGTTCAGACAGGGGTAAGTGATGGCTAGGGCACTTTCTCACCTCTTCTGTGCATGCATAGAGCCTTGCAAATGAACCCTGCTTTCTAAACCTGTCAGGATATGGGAATGCTTATCAAGACTCCCTATGTCTATCCTATTACTTTCTCTTTCTGTTAAATATCTAGCTACTCTGTCATTCCATTGTTTGCCCCAATCAGAACTGCAACGTCAGGTTTGCCATGCAGTTGGCCTTCCCTATTTGTTACTGAGATTTCTACTGTTTATGACCACATGCCTGAGTGTCCAGCTTCTCTACTTTCCGCTCCAAATCTAGTGAGCTGGCAGCAAAGCTGCGGCTCTCTTGACTTGCCCTGCCATTATAGAACTACTGTGGTGACCAATTTGGGGCAATGTCAGCAGAGAAGCTTGCTCCAAGAAAGCTACAGACTGTCACTGTTTTTGCCATAGGTTTAGTAGTTTTTCTTGAATAAGTGCTTCTCAATTTTACCAAGGCTTTGATTGATTTTCAGTCTTGAAATGGTTGTTTGCAAATTTTTTTTTTTTTCAATCGTATTGTTGCTTTTTGGAGAAAGGATTGGCAAGTTCTCTTCTTTATGCTAATCACCTATGGTTCCTTTAGGCTTGTAGAGAATGGCTATACAAAAGGTTTTTTTAGTTTGAGTGTCAACTGTTAGCAGCCCAGAGAACAGACAGAAGTTTGGAATTCCGTCCTTCCTTTTTTCCCTGCCAAACAGTCTCTAGAAATGGAAGGAGGGAAATACTCAGATAAGGGATCCCACACTTATGTATTATTTGTTTCTTACACTGTTCTGTAAGTTCCACCTTCTCCACTATGATTTGGAAGTGAATTTCTGGAATAAAATTCTTACTAGAGACATCATCTTTGCAGCTACAAGTAGCAGACAAATTTCAGAATTTCATCATATGCTTTTTGGATTAGCTATTTACACAAGCATTCATGGGGTCGCTGAAGTACATTTAATCTAAATATCATGTAGCAATCAACAGTTTTACTGCCTAAATAATTCCTTTATAGCTCTTTTCTGATTCTTCTCCAATGGTACTTTTAACTTTGTGTCTTATCTTAATGTTAACTATGTATCTATCTTTTCAGGTTTTGAGCTCCTTGAGACTCTGTGTCTTATTGCCCTTGCATCCCTTTTATAGTTCCTTGAATATAAAAAGATGCCCAATAAATATCTATTGGAAATGTGAAAAACATCAAAGTTAGTACTTCAGTATTGTCTTTATCAGAAGTTAATTTCTGTCACTTTCTTTGTTCTCTGTTAGCTAGAATATTATTAGCAAACAGTTTGGCATTATTAAGCAACACAACAAACATGACATTTTTATTCTCAAGGAAATGCACTTGTTTTCTAAACGTGGTTGCCATAGCAGTATGGCACAGATATTTATTAATATGTCCATTTTCCAGAAAAAATTTAACCTATCCAGTTTTTGTCAACTTCATGTCAAGAAAGTGAAAATCTTAGTATATTTCCTGAAAGTGATGATGAAATAAGCTAAACACAAACAAAAAGTTACAAAGGATGATGGGTGTTAGTCCGATAACAAGGACTCATAGATACTGTTTTGCTTTCCTCTCTTGTTTTTATTTCAGAGTGTGATCTAGTTTACAATTTAAAGAATAATTAATTGAATATGGAAGGCAACTGGAATCTTGTATTTCATAGCAAATTATGTTAAATATGAACTATAGATTAGAGAAACTGCATGACACATGTAAGTTGAGCCTGCAAATTTCAAAATCTGTTTTAAGAGACGTTACCAGTGTTGGTACAAAATGGCAACATTTTAAATAACAAATTTGAGTAGCAATGCCTTCTGTTACTTCTCTTGGAAAAAATGAGGAAGACTGCAAATTTTGGGACGATTTGTGTAACAAGAATAATAGTTATTTATGCTATTTTTCAATGCAAAATAAATTGACAATAAAATCACAGCCATATTTTTCTATTTTTAGAAAAGGGATTTTAGATTAGATACAATTAGGTTGGCAAAAACAGATTCTAAATTAAATCTAAATGTTTGTTTTCTTAGAAAGCTTGTTTTGAAGTATAAGAGATTATTCTGAAATTGTAATGTCTGAAATCTGTGAGATAAGGAACTTTTATTAAGTTGTTTTACTTCTTTTAGCCTCAGTTTCTGTATAAACTAAGAATAGTAATGCCATAATATTTGAACCATTGCCTCCTCTTTTAGCAGGCATGGACTTTCGGGGATGCCCAAATAATTTGGGGCCTTTCCTTAAATATTCTCTTTAGCTCACTGAGTTTGTATAATATTCCTCCATTTATTTGTCAGCAACCTCACCTTCAACATCTAGTTCTCTTTTAGACTAATACTGGCAGTGAACATTAAGTGATGTTATTGAAAAAAGGAAGTATCTGACAAACCTCTAAATCCTATTATTATTTTCTGTGATAATTGCTCCTTGTTTCCATATATCGCAAAGTATGAACATAAGAAAATCTGTTTACTTGAGATGTTCACAGAGAACAGACAAAAGCTTTAGAATTTCAACCATTCCCTTTCCCCTATTCCACTAGTCTCTAGAAATGGAAGGAAGGCAATATAGAGATAAGGTATTCCGTACTTATGTACTAGCTTTTCCCCTGCTCCAGTCTTACACTCATCCAGAACTAGAAGCAGCTACAGTTTAGGATTTTTAGAATAATTTTTACTCTGCTATATAGCAAGATGCCTTAAAATTCTGAATGATCAGTTAGAGCATAAATGTCTTCATTGGAATCTGTCTTTTAATTTTATTCAATTAGATCTCAAATTAGAATGAAATTAGAAATTAGATCTTAAATTAGATCTAATTAGATTAGAAAAAATAGATAATAAGGTCAGCAAAGCTTTCAGATGGCACATGAGTTTGCTTTTATTGTATAACAAATCAGCCCAAAATGTAGTTGCTTTAAAAGTACAATCATTCATGAAATTGTGATTCCAAAATAGCAGTGTAGAGCCAAACTAGCTTCACTTCCCCTCACAGAAAATCAAAAACAAATACACAGTGCTGAGATTTTTGTCAGCAACAACCCAGAACTCAAATAGGAGGATGAGAAATTTCCCTGGGCCACAGAGAAGTAGAAAAACTGAGTAGACAGTAAGAGAATTGGACCTCCACGTCCATGATGCCCCGCCCCCTCATTCAACCTGGCACCAAGTATATGAAAAATTTTTTCCCCAATTCATGGTTTCTACACTGGAAAAAGTGAACTTGAGGTGGTCAACCAGCCTCCCCATCTTCGTCCTTTCCCTGGGAGACCTGTCCTCGTCTTTTCCCACAGGTAGCATTCTGACTGCCTGAACAAGGAAACACCCATAAGGATAGCCATAGACAAAAGAGGAAGGCAGGACGCCCATTCTCTCAGCCCTGGAATTTTTTTTTTTTTTTTTTTTCTTTTTTTAGATGGATTCCTGCGCTGTTGCCCAGGCTGGTGTGTGGTGCGAACTCGACTCACCACAAGCTCTGCCTCCCGGGTTCACGCCATTCTCCTGACTGAGCCTCCCGAATAGCTGGGACTACAAGCACCTGCCACCATGCCCGGCTAATTTTTTTGTATTTTTAGTAGAGACGGGGTTTCACTGTGTTAGCCAGGATTGTCTTGATCTCCTGATCTCGTGATCCGTCCGCCTCGGCCTCCCAAAGTGCTGGGATTACAGGCATGAGCCACCGCGCCCGGCCAGAATTCTTTTCTGAAACTCAGCCAAAGGAGGTGCTTAATTCGAGTGGCTGTTTAGCAACACCATGCTGTAGGAAGTACATTCTGCAGGTCCTCTGAACACAAACACTTATCCAGACTTTCCACACTGCTAGGATAATTCCTTTGGGACTTCCCCCATTTGGGACAGGCAGCACTCTAACCATTTACTAGAGTTGAGGTGAACCTGGGCTTAAGATACCACCTACAGCCAAAAAGGAGGCAGCAACCTAATGACCAAGATTTGCTAAGTAAATGTATCCAGTAAAAACCAAAACAAGCCAAAGAAAACTAGAAAAACAACTAATCATTCAATAAAAAGATACAGATGTAGACGAACAAGAAACAACAGCATTTAGAGAACTATGACCTCCTGAAAAGGATGAAGCAAAAATCCAGTGACTGATTTTAATGGGATGACAATTTGTGAGCTTTCTGACCAATAATTCAAAACCACAGGTTTTTAAACAATGTTTTAATATACTTTAAGTTCTAGGGTACATGTGCACAATGTGCAGGTTTGTTACATATGTATACATGTGCCATGTTGGTGTGCTGCACCCATTAACTCGTCATTTACATTAGGTATATCTCCTCATGTAATCCCTCCCCCCTGCCCCCACCCCAGGACAGCTCCGGTGTGTGATGTTCCCCTTCCTGTGTCCAAGTTTTCTCATTGTTCAATTCCCAGCTATGAGTAAGAACATGCGGTGTTTGGTTTTCTGTTCTTGGGATAGTTTGCTCAGAATGATGGTTTCCAGCTGCATCCATGTCCCTACAAAGGACACAAACTCATCCTTTTTTATGGCGGCATAGTATTCCATGGTGTATATGTGCCACATTTTCTTAATCTAGTCTGTCATTGATGGACATTTGGGTTGATTCCAAGTCTTTGCTATTGTGAATAGTGCCGCAATAAACATACATGGGCATGTGTCTTTATAGCAGCATGATTTATAATCCCTTGGGTATATACCCAGTAATGGGATGCACAGAATGGGTCAAATCTAGAACTATTTCTAGTTCTAGATCCTTGAGGAATCGCCACACTGTCTTTCACAATGGTTGAACTAGTTTACAGTCCCACCAACAGTGTAAAAGAGTTCCTATTTCTCCACATCCTCTCCAGCACCTGTTGTTTCCTGACTTTTTAATGATCGCCATTCTAACTGGTGTGAGATGGTATCTCATTGTGGTTTTGATTTGCATTTCTCTGATGGCCAGTGATGATGAGCATTTTTTCATGTGTCTGTTGGCTGCATAGATGTCTTCTTTTGAGAAATGTCTGTTCATATCCTTTGCCCACTTTTTGATGGGGTTGTTT